TACACAATCTTTTATGATGCCGTGAGAAATAAACTAGTTAATATTAAAATAACTTTTTTTTTTAAAAACACCATAATCTGGTTCCTCCTGTCTGACGCTTGCGGTTTGATGCCACCGAATGTTTCACCACTTCCTACTCAAGCTGTCTAGTTTGTTTCAATTTAAATGTGTGAATGTGAAAAATAAGCATCAGTGTGAATTTTGCCTGAAAATCTCCTTTTTCATCTTTGCATTACACTCTGGATCTGAAAAAAAGATCCTACAAATATAATGAGTAGCAGGCAGAACTCTCCGCAGACTGGTAATGTAAAAAAAAAAATAAGCCTTGTAAATGTAGATGTGATAGACTGTCCTTTTTTTAAAAGATTTTAATCGATTTTAACTGCTGAAAAACAGCTCTGTGACATCATGACCTCTAGTTGCTTGTGTCTACTTAACGTGTTGTCAAAACAGAAGCTTTTTGCATTGTTATCATCAAAGTTTAATCTGAAATGAGATCTGTGACGTGTGATTTTTATGAAGTGCCTCTTTATTGCAAAAAAAAAAAAAAATCATACTTTTTGCAGTTAACATTGTAGCGTGGCACATTCCCTGTGACCTTCAGGGTGAAGACTACGTCTCTGTCTCCTTCCTGCAACTCTAGAAATTCTGTGGAATTTAAGCCGTTGCTGCTGTTTCCCCCTTCAAAGGACAAATGAACTCCAGACAAATCTGCAGATGAGACCAAAAAAAGTTATGTCTGTTTTACCTCATTAGAAAAAGCACTTCTGATCTCTATACTCACAAAAAGTGGGCAGGGTAATGTTTCGAGACTCAGGGTGTGAGAACTTTGGGTGTCTAAACACACAGGTGATGCTGTGGCCCTCGTGTTCTGCCACAGCCAGCCGGACGGAGAGACTTTTCATGTCTGAATTTGCAGTTTTATCTCTTTGCACCTCTTCATTCCCGTTCAAAGCCAAGGAAATGTCAGCCTCAGGTCTCCCTCCGGATGAAATGCAAGAGACCACCCAGAAATCATTTCCTCCGTGTTCTACCATCTCTGCTTTAATCGTCACATTGGGCCTCACTGAGAAGCAGGAAGAAAAAGGAAGGAAGAGTTATTCTTACTTAAACTGTTAATGTTTTCTCCAGCAAATTAAAAACTCAGAGAGGCTCAGTTGTGTTTTTGTTGAATAGGAAGCTGGGGGAGGATGAACCATGAGTTGCTCAAACAAGGACCAAAGGGGGGGCTTCTGCTTGTGTTTTGGATTGCGCACTTATGGGCTTATCACCTGTCCCATCTGGTATCTAAGCTGCTGCTGAGAGCAGATATCTGGAGCAGCTGCCGTCCAACCAAAGCCAGAAGAAACCAGAAGCTTTAATACCAGGAATCAACCGAATTGGAGTCTATCATCAAATATATTAAACTAGTTTAATGCAGTACTTTGATATCTCTAATGAGTAACAAAGGTAAGCCAGCGCAGCATAACAGCTTGGGTGTTTGGGAGTTCACTCATTTTAGCCTTAAAATGTCCTGTCTATTAACACCTCGAGTTATGTGTGATACAACCACAGCAGTCAGAAAATGACTTCATCCGCAGTGTTTCAGGGAAGTGTAAATTTATTGTAGAGAAACGAGCTGCTCGGTGAGGCTCAGCCTTGCCATACAGCATGCCATAAAAACATTGGCTGTAGCAATTTGGAAGCTTTGCATGGATTAAAGTGTGGATAGGAAAGCCTATTTGGAAGAAGGTTTTAGAAGTCATATTTCACTGTTCTTAATGCAAGACAACCACAGAGTGTGACTCAGAGATTTATGTTACATTTTTTCACATCATAACCATAAACTTTATTCTATCAAGTCAATATTTTGTGTTACAGGTCAGAGCAAAGTAGTGCCTTGCTGTGAATTATAAAAAAAGAGATACACTGGTTTTAATTTTCTTTTTTTCAGCCCCATATTAGTACCTGTGTACTGCTTAAAGGGAATGATCCTCAAAAAAACATGTTAAAGCTGCAAAAGGCTAAAGACTGGAGCTAAGATTCATACTCCAAGGACAACACAATTAAAAATACAGCCAATATTACAATCAAATGATTCAGATCAAGATATAATCATGTTTCTAACATGGACCAGTTAAAGTCCAGACCTAAATCTAATTCAGAATGTGTGGAGATACTTGAAAAAATTGGCAAGCCATCTGCACCTAATTTGAATAAGCAAAGCTAATCTTATTCTTTTCCTTCCTCTTCTTTATCCTGCACTGCATTATGTAGGTGCACAACAACACGATCTATAAATGAGTAAGAATTCCTTAAAATAAGTGTTTTCACCCATAATTTGAGGAGGTACAGTAAATAGAAGTAGCTGTCAATGAAATTAGTGTTTTTACCAAAAATGATGCACTTTGAAATAAGACTGCAATTGTTTTATTTTAAATTTAATTTGTCTTATTCCTTTAGTTAAGTGGGTAACCTACTTGCTCAATACAAGTAAAAGAAATCCACTTATTTTTAAGAAAAAAAAACCATACTTTTTGCAGTTAAATTTGGATACATAGATTTATGGGCTTGTATTTTACAAATATAAAAAGCTTTTAAAGGACAGCCTTGTGTTTTTTTATCTTGATTAGGAAGATTTCATTGCCAGATAGTTAAGCCACAGATTTTCCGCTGCAGTGGGCACAATAATCTGGGTTTGCTGTTTATCATTGCATTGGGATATAAAGTGGTACAGAGGCATAACTTCCCTTTGTGAGTGTGTGTGCAGAGTAACTGTTGATTGTGAGATTACCGCCAGCTTTGAGGATTCAGATATTTTACATTTTTGAGGGTTAGCATTACAGATGTGCACAACAAAGCATGTCTTTAATCAAGCATAACTTCCATGTTTTCTTCCTCTGATATATCTTTAATGGCTGTAATAATGCTAGACTTCCTCTTTTGGTTTGGCTTTCTTTTGTGTGAATCCTTGGCCCCCTAATTTCACAAACTGCACCTTTCATGCAGACCCATTAATGATCAAGAAATCAGATTCTGGGGGACAAGGACATTCTGGGTTTTTTTTAAGGTTGAAAAGACAAGATTAGTTGCCTGGGAAATTAGTTTTTTTAGAGCATTCATCAGCAGAATAATACATTTTTTAATTTAGTTTTTTCTCTTAAAAAAAGCTGCTCTTGAACTTTGTATTTGTTAGGGATGACCATAATATTAGACTGTAAATAAAGAGAGAATGCTGACAGTCTGCAAAAAAGATCATTGAATTGTCTGGTGCATGTAAAAGAATAGAATATTTTAAAAATGTAAAAAAAAAAATGTATCGCATTTTAAGAAATGAAACTTACATAATATAGATTAGTTGAATACAAATTTGTCTTTCTTATAATTAATATTTACAGTAAATTAAAACCCCATAATTCAATGTGTCAGGGACTTTGGAGAACACCAGAAAAATAATCCCAGTGGGCCTTTTCGTGAAGGGTTTAGATGAGTGTCTACATTATAGCCTCAAGACAAAGGATAACGTAAGATACAACTTCCTTTAAACATTCATAATAAAAGCATTATGTATATTGACAGAAATCTAAAGCTGGATGTATAATCACTGAAGGTTTTAAAATAACGCCTACAACAATAAAAATATTTATACTACATATGTTTTTTTGTCTTAAAAAGATACAGAAGTATTACTAATTAAATTACGCTCTGACTTTTAAAGTTGCAACAATGAACTGACAAAGACAGTTGCAGAAACATATCCTAAAAAAAAACTGTGCAGAGATTCCTTTTAATTTGTTATCATTGTTTACCTTTAAAAACAAAAGCCATATATGTCAGTCAGTTTGGTACAGAGTTTAAAGTATATAAATATAATAATCAAGTGTGTTAGGCAAGTCAAGAATTGATTTTTTTTCTGCCTAAATGCTTTGTGCTTGACATGTGATATTGTCTTATAGTAGCAAATATTGCAAATAATGATTTCAATATTATAAAAATGAATGAATAAAGCCAATCTTTGAACAAATTATTCTGTCATCAGACCCCCCCCCCCCCCATTCACTATCAATCAAAATGAATCCTTTACCATTACCTCAGATCCCACAGACCACAACTGTTTTATATAGTTCATGCTTGATCTAAATGATTCCACTCATTACTGTAGTTAATCTAAAAAGTTATTTGCACATAATTCAACAGGTTTTCGTGCGCATCATCCTTCAATTTGCAGGCGCACAAACCGCACATCCACACTCTGCTTTAAATCGGTATCTTCAAAGTTCATCAAAGTCCTGCACTGCGCCATATCATTTTAAAAACTTCCATTCTTCTTTGGATCTTGTTCGCTTTGCTCAAATTCACTGAAATACTGCATTCCCACATGAATGCGCTACACTACACAGTGTGATTTATGGTCTGTCTGTGTGTATGTGGAGCAGACTGAAAGGGAACAGCAGGAGAAAGTTAAAGTTTTGTAATTTGCTGAGTCATGATGCTGGTGATGCAACTCCTCCTGGAAAACGAGCTATAAAGACTCAAATGCTGCTGATTTGGCCTTACCGTAGGTTTCCACCCTTGTTGTGGTGCTTTTTGGGCTTGGAAGGGTCTCATGTTTGACAACACAGGTCACACTGTCCTCCTCCTGGAGATGGGTGGGGAAGCTGAGGATGCTGTGCAGCGTGGAGGTGCTGTTTGAGTGGAGAGTTTTACTCTCATTCACAGTGAAGGGGAAACCGGAAGGAGGTTGCCCACCGACCAGCCAGCTGATGTGAGGCGTTGGTTTCCCTCCAATGGCTGAGCATGACACCATCTGGTAATGAATGTCATTTATGGTCTCTGAATTCACCATTATCTGTATATCTGGTTTAACTGGGGATATTAAAGAATAACATCTGTTTATTATTAGTGCAGAATGTAGCTTTGATTCTTAAAGTGTCTCATAATGGATTTTCTACATTGAAAAAGAGATCCACTTACCATAAACAGTGACAAACACGCTGCCAAATGAATTTTCTTCCTTATCCTCAAACTCACAGAGGTACTCTCCCTCCGCCTCCACATTGGACACCCTCATCCTAACTGTGAGGTTAGTGGATGAGGGGGGTTTTGAGAAGTCATCAAAATGGCTAAATGATTTGTTATTTGCGAAGCCGGCCAGTCGTTTGAATTTATTCAGAGAAATCTTGCGTTTCCACTCAGCTTTCAGGATGTCCTCTTTGCCTGGAAACTCACAGCTCAGGTACACATAATCCCCTAGAACTCCGGTGACGTTTTGAGCAATCACAGAAGTTGGTTCTTCACCTGAACCTGAGACACAGCATTAACATGCTCAGTTATCATCAACGGTCAAAAGTTCAACTGAGCACTCCTGATATTGCAAACACAGCCAGCAAAGTAGATCTGTCTTAATAGATGAAGTTACATTTGCCCCCAAAGGATCCTTAGATGACTATTATGATTCTCAGCAGAAATGAAACTGTGATAGTTGAGTCAACCTGCCTGGATTAATAAGGCGTTTTCTTGTTTACAGAAGTTTCAAATTGACAATAAAAGCAAAACTAGAAGAGCAAATGCAGACATTTTGAATCCAACTGGATGTTCAAGCATTACTATTAGCTAGCATTTCTTCATCTATGTGACAAACCTGCAGCAATGAACACTGATGAGACAACCACCTATTGGCCAGAACCATCCTTGGTTACCATAAAGACCAGACGCAGATCGGTGAACTGATATTATGTCTGACAATACACTCAATTTGATTTCTTTGGTTGCCTCTCCAGCTGGCTAAATGCCAGGAAGAGTAACACCTGAAGAAAGTCTCGGCTTCATATTTAATCTCTGGACAAGAGAAATATTACCTTATTTCATTGGTTCTTTTTTATGTATGCCTATTTAACACATTTAACACAAATCACAGAATAATGTGTATTTTACTGGAAAACTTCAAAATAAATGACAATTTTTTTGTGTTTGCAAACAGGTTTTATTTATTTTACCCCATAAACAAGTGATATGTGGAATATTAATAATGTAAAAACTGCATCCATTGTGTACTGTACTAAAAAGATGGTTTTTTAAATGGGTGGCAGTTCTTTCTCCAGCTGGCAGCAAGACTGTAAAGGTTCAAGCTGTATCTGTCAACGCTTAAGAGGCTGAGGACAAGAAGTGGACTCTGTTGCGCTCAGCTTTGATAAATGCTGCCTGGTTTTCACAATGTGTATTTAACTGACAAGTCCATTAAGTTAATGAAAACAACTCAGAAGTTATGTCGGGTTAGTATCCAGACAACAGAAACATTTTTCATCCACATGGTGCCCAAATCAGCCAGAGCTTGGTGGACATTTCAGAGGGAAAACTTTTTAATGGATGACGACAGACGTCAGCACTTACAGGCCTTTCCGCAATGCAAAGCCAGTCCACTTCTCTCTGCTTCCTCTGCTGACTTCATCAAGGTGTGCTTAAGGACACCATTTGTTTGAAGCCAAGAAGCGAAGAGCTTCTTCTCAGGTTTGTATAAACGATGAGTACAATAATGACAGCTCTGCGCTGCACTGTGTCATGGTAAACCCAAGGAATGTATCCAGCTCTGTTGCAATTGAAATCCAGCTGGGCTCCCTGTATATCACAGCTAATGGAAACAATGTGGAGGGCTTCCAAAGCCTTTAAGAGGAAAAAAATAAATAAATGCACTCTATCACTTCAGTAACGCCTTCTGGGTCCATTTGCCCTTGCAGGTTATTGCCAAAATAAATGTCAGCCAAGAATGGAAAAGCTGTGCCTTCAGGACACAAACAAGGTAATAACTGAGAAAAGAAAAACATGCATTCATTTAGAGCATCATATTTCCTGAAGCCCAGGGGGTTCTTTTTCTCACCAATTCAACAGCAACAATTTACCAGAGAGAAACAACAAGTCTTCCTCCGGCAGGCTGGGGGATGTGGTGAGCAAATAACTCTTTCAATGTAAGAATTCAGAGCTCTTCCTCACATTTAAACTTTCATCTCAGACTGAAACTCTGTGACTTTGCAGAAACAAAAGCTATGCATACCAGGGTCGTCAAGGGGTTTTTCCCATTACGCTGAAAAAAAACACACCTTAACACCCCTCATATATTGGTTTTAATAGGCTGTAAAGAAATTACCGAGGTTTTTAGGTGAAACAGCTGATCAATAACAATAAACTCATTGGCAGAGTGGAAATGCAGCATGCCATCAAGAAAATATGGCAGAAAATGGTTCCATACACAGTTAATCATTTGATTTTATAGGCTGTGTGCATTTATAATTTAACTGATCATTTAGGAAAAACCAAGCAGCCCCAGTGAATATAAATGCCACAGGTTAAATAAGACCTGAAGGTCCAGTAAAATAAACCCATAAACAGCTGACAGCCACAGATGGACTGCAACTCTGCAAACTTACCCAGAATTTCCAAGGAATGTGCAAAATTTTGGAGAAGACCCAAAACCAACAGCCATGAGCATCTCATGATGGTGTCATTTAGCAACACACAGTTGGATGCACCAACTGTGTGTGAGGCACAGGGGTATTTAAAGTGTGTGTGTGCTTTCTGTGGTTCATGGTTATAGGTGCACACCCTTTACAGCTGATACTGACGTGCATGCCTGTTTGCCTACACTTGTAGAACCACTTCTGCTTTTTGTTTTTTCTTTGCCAAACAATACTTTAGCAAAGCTTTGCATGTCTCATGATTTTTCAGGTTTTCTAGAGCGATGCTTCTGGTCTGTTTCTCAGCCACCCTTTCTAACTGGGCCCCTTGGGACGGAGGTAAAGCCATGTATCATCCATACCATCCTGTCCATGTTGGGGAAGCTCAGAGTCGGCCAGTCTGACAGCAGAGATGGTTTGCTTCTGCTTATTTCCTGTGTGCCAGGAAATCACTCGCTCGTGGTCATTATTTTATGAGTTAATGTTCCTCTAATTCGCTCCCATGATTCTTCTCTTTTAGACCCTTTTTTTTTCATCAAGTTGTTTGAAAGAGTGCAAAGAATGTGAATGGGTAAGGCAGAGATTGGCAGATATAGACTGTGCCATCCTTTTTGACTTATAGTGATGAGTCATTTCAACCACAGCGAGCTGACAGTGACTGAAATGACCCCATAAAAAAAAAATGCTGCCAACGCATATTTTACCATGTAGTCTGTAACGGCTTTTTGAATGATCTCTTCTGAAACCAGGAGGCACAGTTCAAGCCTCTGCAGCATGAGAATCTGGGTTTCACAAAAAGGAAATACTATGATTCAGACACATTTTGATGCACCCACATCCACAACTAGAGTTTCCATTTAGAATACAGTAACATCACAGCGTTAACATTATAGGACATTTGCAGCTTAAGTATAGCAGTCATGTCTCTCAAAAAGAAACTTGTCCGCATGCACACCTGCACATGAGTGTTTTAATTGCATCTGGAAACCTAAGGAGAATGAATATATCTCTAGATTTAGACCTTCCTTTGAAACAACTTAGTGTTTCAAATGTTTAAGTTGCTTTCAGGTTTTGAATCAAACAGATTTGGTTGGTTTTACATCATGAAGAACCAGGCATGTACGGGATAATGTTGCAGAGAGGTCAGAGACAGAGTAAGGGAAGAAAACAATAGCCCAAGCAATGATGAAGAGCAATCAGATGCCCTCCAACCAGTGGGGATGAGTATCGTATGTTTTTACAAGACAAGACAGGTAGGTGGGTTTCAGTCCCTCGATGTGCAAGAGTTGTAGAGACAGACCTCGGAGGATTGTAGTTATAACTGCAGTGAATCATTGCTCAACAAAAAAAGTAGATATTTTTTTACTGCAGGAGGGATGACAAATCAAAACCCCACTTTTTATGTCTTCATAAAAAAAAAAGAAGTATGAACTTTGATCACATCAGCAATTGTTTGCTAATATACTAGTGTTTTTAAAATTCCAATAAGAAACCTTGATAGATGGCATGATGTGACAAAAAAAGGACTGCAGATACATTTTAAGTCGTAACACATTCAAAGGTTTAAGGGTTTTCTTTGCAACACTAAATTACTTCAACTCTTGTGCTCTGATTTATTTCTGAGTGTGAAGAATTGAATCTCCGGAAGGTAAAACTCAGAGCAACATTTCACGCAACATTGAATTTTGAGGTCAAGCTCTTGACGTGTTCTCGTGTCTGTCTCTTGAAATCACGCGGACCTGGACATGCAGTTAATATTTCCTGCTAATCAAATGATCTGATGCGGATATTCCCAGTAGGTGGGTGGAGGTGGCTGGAAATGTAAAAGAATCTGGAAACGTTCATTCTTATCCGTTTGTATCATTTGCAGACTTTGAGCTGATTCATTTTACATCACAATGAAACGCTAACATCCCCCTGACAAGGTATTTACAATTTTTCACAGATGTATAACAGGTTTTCCTTTCGCTCTGCTGTCTTACTCTTTACTATTCCATCTGTAGATTCACATCTGGAAAAATCAGCTGAACAAACACCAACAATAACTCATGTACAGCAAATAGACCAGTGGAGGTTCCTGTGAATGTTTACAGTTTAACCTATCTTTTTCCCCCTTATCTTTCTGCAGAGGAGGAAAATCTTTGATCAGCAGCACTATCTCTACCAGCTGTTGTTCATTTACACCAGAGCTATCATCAACAACTCTACCTCTCCCACTCTCAGACTGAGGAGGCACAGCTGAAGTGATACAACTCCGACTCTAAACCTGATTAATATGACACGCTCAATCTGAGTCGCATACCAGCACTGGCCTGTGACTCTGCTGGTATCTGTGCACCAAACAAAGAAAGAAGTCCAAATATAAGTGGAATCTGCATGCTGGGTTCTGCAGAGTATGATTGAAATACAGACAAGCAGATGTATTCTGGTTTCCAGTTACAGGTGAGTAATACCAAACACTTAAGTCTGAGAGGACTTCTTTAGTAGTGCAAGTTGTGATGTGAGAGTAGTTGCTGGTTAACAAAAAAGGAAATTCATACTAAGATAACTGACATCTTTATCATGGTGATCCCAATATTTGATTTAGATAGGTTAAGACAACCAAAGACAAACCAAACTGTCTCTGTTAGCACTTTTTACCTTTTTATCTATTATTACATGTCTCTATTGCATTTTCACATCTTAAGTCACACATGGTCCTAAGAAAACCATCTGCCCCCTTACAGATTGATTTTAGTCACATCATCAAACAAAACAATTACTCATTATAAATTCAAGTGATTAGTTTACTTATTAGGAAAAAGCTATCATATATATAATCATAATTAGCTTATGAAAAAAAAACTCTTGTTTAATCATGACTTAAACATGATTAAAAACATAGATAAAATTTACTTGACACAATTACTGACTTGACTGTAGCATCAAGAAATCAAATGAGCAGAACCAGTCTGACAACATGAAGGAGACTGAAATATAAAAACTGCAACCTATCAACCCAAAAATGCCCCTGAACAAACCTGGAACAGCAATGAATCTTCCCAGGATTTGCCAACCTATCAAAGTTACACAGAATGCATTAATGAAACAATTGAACCACAGCAGGTCTCAGTCACCTTAGTAAAAGACAACGTTTATGATCCATTAGTTAAAAAGAGGTTGGTCCAAATGTCATCCAATATACTACTTTAAGGTGAAAATATGTGTTTCCCAAAATTTCCCCAAATATACCCTTATAATCCTCAAAATTTTCTTTTAAATTAAAAGCAGACTCTGGCCTGTGTACTATTACATCCGGTGCATCATACCTGCAGTGTCATGATCTTGGAGCTGACGACTACCTTGATCTTTCATTCCATTTACCTGCCTAGCTCCACTTAGTTTCTCATTACCTTTCATTTGTGTCACCTGCTCAAGTCTCTATTTAACCTGCTTGTTCCAAGTCATCAGTGCCAGATTATTCAAGCCTTTGGTGAGAGCGTACTCGTTTGTGTTCTGAATGCCTCATCCTGACCCTTTTTGCCTTTGGACCTCTGAACTTAACTGTTCCTATTCTGATCTGTTTGCCTGAGCTGTCTTAGGACTGCTGCTGGATTCTGCCTGTTGACCAAACCTTGATCTGCTTCCTGACACTGACTTGGATTTCCCTTCGGTACCTCTTCGGATCACTGATCTTCTGGCCTCCTGTGAACCTCTACGATGCAGGCTTTAGCTTTGCCCTCTGTATTGTTCTGCCGTCCTTCGTTTGCTCAGTTCTGATCTCCTGCAAGTTCTGAAGTCTACAAGACTTCAACGTCTGGAACTCTCTGGGCAGCGTTTGACGCTTCGTGTTGGCAGTCGTTCGGCCAGAATCCACCTCTTCCTCTTGGCATGGACTGAAATTCAAGACCAGGTTAATGACTCACACGTTCATAATCATCCCCTGCCAGATTAATGTGGTCACTAACCCTTCTCCTGCAGAGGTTCTTGCCTTACACATCTTTGCTGCCACTGCCAATCCATCTTTTTTTAATAAACACTTTTTGAATAAGCTAACTGTCTGTCTTGCCCTGAATACTGGGTCTTCTGTTCTGATCCTTGACATACAGTTCACTATCATGGTGGTGCTAGTGTGATGGTCCCAACCCTAACAGGCTTTCTGTACTGCATTTATAATCACTTGCTCTGTAGCAGGAAATCATAAATGGCTTTGAGTTCAAAGATAAGTGGTTTTTGCAGCAGGACAATTATCTGAAACACATTAGCAATCCCCCCCTGTTAGCCCCAGGACAAAATTAGTCACAGTGGCACAGTTTGGACTTAGTTCCAAGAATATGCAATGTAAAAACCTTTAACTGTTATAAATGCTTAGAAAGACCATAGCTTGGATACATTTAATTATTCTCCAAAACAGAAGAAGGTTGAATTTCAATTAAAAAAAACGTATAATGTCCTTCTTAAAAGTATCAAGTAACACCTTTGCAGGATTACATCACCTCTTTAGGTCCAAAACTCAAACTGTTATAGACAACAATCAAGGTCACATTTTAACTGAGTTTCAAGTTCCTGCAGCATTCTCTAACCTATTGTTAGTGAGGAGACGGTTCTAACCGTTTGACAGATTGCTCTACTGATACCACTTTCTGTGGAGGCAGGTACAAATATGTGAGACCACAAAATCAGCTGCACAAAAACAACCAACACCTTCATTGCAGAGTGCATTTTCCCGCAAAGGTTTAGACATTAGCTATATCAAGAATAAAAAGCACTCCAGTTTCAAGTCAAGTTTAGTTTTGTTTTTAGGAGGACATAATGGCCAGTAGTGCATTTAGCAACTCCAATAAAATGATATGGATCCCTTTATGTTTTCATAAATATTTATGCCTTGTATTCTAACCTTTTAAAGTCATTAACAGTAGAGAAAAAATATAGAGAGAAATATGCTGTGATGCTTTATAAATCACTGTGTGATTAACAAGTCTTTATCTGTTTGTAGTAGGAGGTGACTCATTTTGAAATATTTGTTAGACTTTCTCACAACTGACAGGAAGTACTCAGAGGTCCTCGTATGCAAACATCACTAATGCAAGC